TCAATTCCCAGAAATAAGGACCCATACATACACAGTAGAGGTTCAGCAAATGTCAGATGGATCTTGGATGGGTGAATACATTGAATAGAATCGGAATAATCTTGTGATACCCAAGTCCCTTTACCATAGGGAAGTTCAGACAAGTTTCTCTAAGAAAGCAGGAAATGTTCCCTTCTGCCAAGCCAGAATATATGAAGTGGTGGGAATGGTCTCAACCCTTTTCAGCCAAAAAAGGTCTACATCTCATCATCACTATGATCCGAGAGTACCCGTTTTGTCCAGAATCTAGCCAAAACCATATTGGAGCCCGTCATTGTAAGAACCGTACTGTACCTCAGCCACACTTACTGTTTATGTGTTTACTGGGGGAAAGGAAGTAGAAGAGAAAGGTCAGAGTTTGTGGTGTTGTCTGGCTGATGGGTAACTCTAAACCCTTGGGTTTCCAGCCAGGCTGTCTCCGCGGCAACCATGAGCAGTTACCAAGAAGGGACGCAGGCACCGCCACGTGTCCCTACCCTGCCTGAAAACAAACTCCCACAAAGGCCCTTACAGGTCACCTAGTCTAACTGCTGCCCAGGAAGGAAGTTGCTCTGACCCCTGGGAAGTGGTCACTTGGTCCCAGCTGAATCCCTGGAATGAAGTTAAGGAGGTCAGGAGTGTTTCCGTACGTAGGCAGCATCTAAATTGGGACATCACTTTGGTGCACACTAGGCTCTTTCTGGAAAAACCTCAGCTGGGTTAATGGGGTCCAGAATCTGGGCCTCAGGGGTCAGGAACTGGACGGCTTGTCTACTCAGAGGTGATTAGTTTTTCCGCTGTGTCCTGAGAAAAGATCACACAAGATCTTTTGAGAGCCCATGGGAGAATTTGCTTACCAGTAGCTACAATATTCTTTTCTTTCATCCAGGAAACCATCTATCTACTAGCCCCTATTGGTATCAAGGTACTAGGGAGCCAATTCAGAAGGCTGCTTGTCGAGTACAAAATTAAGAACAATAGGAATCTCAAGACCAAAATCAAGAGGACACAGTGAGGTCTGGTGAGTCCACCCCAGTGACCTTTTGACTGGTCAGTGCCTTCATGTGGACAGGGCCTCTGCTGGACACACTGAGAGATTCTCTTCCCTCTGGCTTCCTGTAGACCCCTTCTAGGAGAATCTGTGCCCCAGACACTGCTATCCACATGTGTCTGGGTCACAGCTTCCTGCTGGAATAGGGGCAAACTAACCCTTGGAGTTCTAAAGGAAACCCAAGATGGCAGCTTACAACTGCTCCATATTTAAACAATTTCAAAAGACCAGAGAAGGCCGGTCAGGTACTGATAAACACACAACTTGAAGCTTTGTTTTTAAACTAGAATTTATTGGTATACAAAACTCCATTTCATAGATAAAGTGGCACATCTTTGCAGCTTCTATTGCACCAAGTATTGAAGATTAAAAACACAAAAAAAAGAAAACATTTGGTTTTGAAAACACTGCAAATAGCCGAGTACAGTACTTTGGTAAATAAAAAATAAAATGGTTCAGATGTACACAATCTGTAGGAAGACACCTGGGGAAGGAACTATGGACATCAGACAATGGTCACATTTCTCACCATCGAGCTCCATAGATAAGGCAAGACTTGCTAAGTCTATGGATCATGACCCCACAGAGGTCTTAAGTGTCTCCAGACTGAAGCTAGAACAAGTATAGTGCAATTAGAAAGAAGAGAAGGCCCCCGCTCCAGACACACCTGCCCTCCCCTCGCAACGGCTGACGCACGCCAACACTTCTACATCAGCAAGGGCCAGGCAGGTGTGAGTCTTGCTCCTGGCTCTTTTCTCTTTTCCTCTGAGCTTAGCGCTGGTGAAGGATGTTGAAGGGAGGCTGGGCAGGCTAAGGGCCCTCCTGCCACGGATCATGAACCGCAGGAGTGGGGAAATGTGGGGAGCCTCTCACCAGCGCTGGTTGAGGGAACTGCCAGGGGATGTGACCACCAACTGAGGTCTGTGAGCTCAACTGATTGTCATGGACGGATGGCAACAGGGACCTGCTGGACACTGATATGTGAACGATTAGAGCCAGACCACCCAGGTTTGGTCCAGTGATCATCACCTGCCATGAGGACTAGCAGTGAGCAGAAGCAGCCCTGTGTCACAGGATGCCCTGATTAAAGTAATCTCTATGCAAAACAGATCCTGTACACTGGTACCCACCCTTTCTTAAGTAATTCTGCAAGGATATGAAATATTTTCAGGGAGTTGCAAAGTAGTGCCAACAGGACAGTTCAAGAGAGACACCCTAGAGAGCAATCGCTTGGAAGACAGAATTAAGGGCCTAAGGTTTGAAGGGCATTTCACCTTGAGACAGAACAGGGCTGGACAGTCCACAAGGCACAGCCCTTCCTTGAAGCCCCGGCCTCAGTGGCACATGGTGAGTTACACACCATGCACACACCAGGTGACTGGTGTACCACATCATCTCCATGTTCCAAAAATGATCGATTTTCCCCTTTCCCCTATGTGATGGCAGATTTGTTATAACTTAAATACGCCATCTAGATCTTCAATTCAACAATGTCAGCAGAACATACAAGTTACTTTAGAGCCACAAAAACACACCTTGTAAAAAGTGGCATTACTAAATCGCCTCAGAACAACTGTCAAAGGCCCCAGAGTTTTAGCAACACCTGTTCTGAAAGCTGAGATTAATGAAACTGAATAACGAGAATGGCAAACAAAAACCACATCAGACCCCAAGTCTGATGATCAGAGATGTTCTTAGATAGCAGGACAAGTTGGATGTAGCTAGACAGAGCCTTGAGGTAAAAACGTGAAGAGCTATTCGTCTACCTAACCAGAGCTGCAGAGGGTCACTGGCGACACACTAAGATCAGGAAGCTCCATTCTCTTCCCTTACAAAGACCCTCTGGTCAGGGTGACTGTCAGGCAACTCTGATTAGGAACCCAAGTTTCCTTAAACCGACTGGATATTTCATGGAGGTAAACTGACGGCATTCTATGTTGACCCAGTAAAACCCAGGCAGAGACTAGAGAGTTTCTCAGAATGAGAGAATTTGCACATTGACTACAGGGACTCACTATGAGTACGGTTCAGTGCCAGAGTCCATCTGATACTATTTACATAGTATGTGAGCAACTCCTTCTCTGACTTAACATGGCCCTCCTCCCAACCCCCCAACAATCATATCATTTCACATTGAAGAAGCTCCCTGGGGAAGCAGGGCAGGGCATGACAAATCACTCATAGGAAGGAGCCCTCCAAGCCCAGCTTCAGCTGCCTGCCCCACAAAAGAGATTCCATTTCACAAGCCCTCAAAATCAAGATGGCATTGGAAGTATTTTCAGAGCTTATAAAAGAAACCACGGACAACTTCAACTCACTTAAAATTCTTCTTTCTGCCACAATTTCTCAACCATACTTTGCTCCTGAAAGTGTATGTTCATATTATTGAAAAACTAAATGTACATATACATTCTACCTTTCTAATATCTCATGGTGGCAACTATATTATTTAGAAGTTGTGATGCTATGTTGTTTTAATACAACTACCTCTTTAGTTCAAAGTTGTTGCCACTAAAATTTTATTTATTTTGACCTTTAAAAAAACTTTAAAATCCATAAAACCTTTATATACAGTTTATGAGACCAGTAAGCAGCTGTGTACCACTGCTCCTCATCTTCTCCTGGCCACACTTCAAGCTATCAAGACAATTCCATGGAACATCAATCTCTACCAGCCAAGATGTATTACAGAGGTTAAGATAGATTCCATCCCTAATACAGGTTTCACACGAGTAACTGTACTAGGGCAACAGTTGCCGACAATAGTCATTCCAGGCCTAACCACGTTGGGCCTCCATTTGGGCTGCCAAGGAAGTAATTTTCAAGTACCCACCAAGGCAAGTAAGCATATGGATTCCATCTACCTCACACTTCAGTGAGACAGAGGCAGTGAAATCTAAATTCAAACTCTTAGCTAAAAAATATCACTGAAGTTGGAAGCATGTACTCCATTTGTAATAATTAACACACGAAACACAGCCCAATTGTAACTGGAAAGCTGTGAAATGGCAATAAATGAAAATTACCAAAGCCCTTTGATTAGTTTTTAAAACCACTGTTATTATACCCTAGAAAGGCTGAAGTCTATTATCAGAATTAGGTAATGTATACATAAATGTTCCCAATATTCTTTAATAACTTTTTAGCAGCTTCTAAAACTTCTAAAATCCAATAGGGCCTAAGGCCATCTTCACTAACCAAGTAAATAAAGCAATTCTACTATTTCTGACACTGAGACTCTCCTGAGGTGACTGCTAATTCAGAATTTCTGGTACAAGAAGTACAAAACAGACAGAAAACAGGGTTCATTTAGGAAAGCTCAGCCAGTCAGGAGTCTACCCAGAGTTGAAACTCAAGAGAACACTACATTCTGAAGCACTGGAGCCAGGCCCTTAGAGGAAGAGCTCCTTCACTTGTTTAGACTGAATGCAATACTAGGAGCTTCAGATTCAGGACTCTGCAACGTGCAGAGAAAAGATGCTGCTGCAGTTTTTAAAGTGTGCTACATATTACAATGTACTGTACCCAGGAAGAAGTCCAAACCACAATGTCCTGGGAGCAATTCCAAGGGACTCCTGATGCTCCAACCGCAAAAAACCACCAAAGTCAGACCAAAAAACCAAGACATCATCAAAACTGAAGAAAGCAAATGGCCTGCTGATAAAGACAATTCAGGCTTGCTAGACAATAATGTCTATACCTAACAACACTTTAGTTTTCTCTTTGCCTCCAAATTGTTAGTTTATGCCCACCTAACTCAGTTTTAGGAATGACACCTCTTCACTGCCTAAATATATCTATTTTAGAACCGTAGAGTCTTTCAAAGGCCTTAGCCAAAGTATGTTCTCTTTCCTACTGGTCCAGCCTAAGTCATTGGCAACTTCTGGCAGATCCTGGAGAGTTTTCCTGACATCAAAATGCCAAATAGGACTTAAATAAAAAGAAATAAATGTGGCATTTTTATGAGATTTCATTTCCACAATAATAAGAAAGTTCAGTAGCCTATAAGGTCAAGTTATCATTTATCTCTCTGAAGGCACCTAAATCTAAAATAGAACGAAATAAAATACAGTTATTTTAAATGGGAACATGAAAAATCTTATATATTTTTCCAGACTTCTCCTATAAAAACAAATAATTATTTAGGCTTCACCTAGGCGAAGTCCCATGAATACCCTGACTTCCCTTTACAACTACAAAGGCTGCTCTACATACTATTAGAATTACAGAACTGTATCACAAGCAGGAAGACGCTGTTTTCCATTTTCCCACTGTGGAAACAAGTACCCAAAACCCAATAGTGTCGACTTCCCAGCAAGGCCCAGGACTGATTAACAGTCACGTGCATTTATCAAATGGCTCGAGTGCAAATGAACTAAGAGCACCTGCATCCCAACTGAAATAGCAGCAGAATCAGGAAGAAGAGAAATGTGGGTGTTGAATTTCCACCCACCCTGACCATAGGCCATAACCCTCATATCATATTACTTTGGGAAAAGAATTCCTGAATTATTTTCTGAGTAACTTGAATTGAAATTGAATCTAAACATGTTCCTGAGTTGGATATCATTTATAAACTACCCTATATGTTAAGACCTGTTTGAAAATGAAAGAGTAACTAAGGAAACTTGTCATTTTCAATGTCTAACAATTACTCTAAACTACTTACAATGAACAATTACAGCAAAACTCACCCCAAATACTAAGCAAAGATCCCAGGGTCACTGAACTTTGATTTTCAGGGCAAATAAAGCCATACTTAAAAGGTTTTTCCTGACCTAACTATCCACCCCTAAAACTCAGTATTTTAAGTTTGTATTACAGAATAGAAATGGCATCACTGCACTTTCATAAAACAAAACATGTCACTAACAAAACTTTAAACAAAAAAAGAGGCAGCTTGAAGGACACTAACTCAGTGTGTGAGCTCAGGTGTGGGTTTTGGTGGTCGTGTTTCACTTGTAAAAGGATGGCCTCGTTGAAAAGCCTAGCACGCAGCACTTCTCTTTCCATCGCTCCTCCAACTCCCAGGAGGCCAGAGTCAGATGTTGAGAGCAGCAAAGGTCTTCACCAAGGTGACCTGCGTGTTCGCATCTGCCTCCCTCCTGTTGTTGTCCCTGTGGCCACTCCGGCTCTCCAGGGCTTTGAGACGGTGCCTCTCCTCCTGCCGCTTCTTCTTCTCCAGCCGCTGTTGTTCTCGCCTCTGCTTGTTTGTGACCTGAAAGAAAAGGCCGCCATGACTCAGGAAGCCGCCTACTGAAGGGAGAGGCAGGCAAAAGGCACAGCCTGCTTTCAGCAAGAACAGAGAACCAGCCTGAGAGTCCACAAATGATTTATTTTCCATTACTGCTCAAATTGACATTTAAATGTATATCCCCTTGCTGAACTAGGAACAAAATCAACTCCATTCTCCTCATAAACCAATTCAAAGTGACCTAAAGATATATTAACCCTAGTTCAACAAGAGAAAACACACAAACGTGTAGAGAAGGCCTTTCTCTACATAAGCTAATACCCCGGGTAATTCTAGCAAGTCCCCAGAAGCTTACTGCATCTTTGCCTCTGCTGGTGGTTTTTTACATTATGTGGCATTTTGAGCTCAGAACTTCTTGGTGAGAATCTTTAAAATGAATTCCAAATTCAGTAAAATGAAAGCTGTCACACACTATCTGGGTGGAGGGTAGGGAGAGAGATGTGCAACCTCTCTGGGAAATACTTGATGATTTACCAAAAGCCTTAAAAAGATTCAGGTGCCGCCCATGCCCTTTAACCTGTTCATTCCTCTTCTGGGACTGTATTCAAGAAAATAATGCAAAAACCAAAGATTTACACACAATCGTGTTCACTGCAGATGGCATTCATAAAAAGTGTGGATTGCCATGGTAAGAACCCATACGCACAGTAATGTTAGGGGAAAAGGAGGCTAGACATTTGCACATACAGGACAGTTTCGGGGATGCTTCCTTCCAACTGTCACTGCATACACCAAACAGGAGGAGTGAGGTCTTCATTCTGCTTCTTAATATGCCTTTATGCAGTCCCGGGTTTCTACAATAAGTACTTTTATAAATCAAAACACTATGCACAATGAGTCCCAAGCTCCCACCACTGCCAGAGTTATGCCAGCCCACCAGCTGCCCTTTCAGCCCATCCTTCATACCTTCGGGTTTTTATTTGCTTTGTTTTCTTCGCTAGGGCTGGCCCGTGCCTTATTGTTCTCGCTCCTGCCTTCATTTAAGCCCTGATTTCCAAAGGTTCTGGCACCACTGCCACCCTCCTCCCATAAAGGGCCACACTGCTTCAGCACTCGACCACTGGGCTCAAGATTCTCCTCTGCATCTTCCAAAGAAATATATGTCATTAAAATTGAGAACCTAAGGGTTAAACAACGCAATTACCGTATTAACTTATTCCAAATGTACCTGCATCCCTAGATCACTGTCATTCGGGAAACAAGTTTCCTTGAGACAGAATTCTAATACCAAGTCAATACAGTGGGAAACACAAGGAGAAAATGGTAAAACTGGGAACATAAATTTTAAAATAACCTGTTGACCAGCATTATGATCAGCTTCCCACTAGCAGAGTACTTCATTTTATTAGGAAAAAAATACTCTTTAACATGAATTTTTAGAGAAAAATCTTCCATTTGCACCCAAAACCCGAAAGAGAAATAGGCGCTAAAGCTATGCTGTCCAGTACAGGAGCCACCAGTCACACACGGCTAAATTTAATTAATTAAAATAACATTTAAGATGTAGGTCCCCAGTCTCACTGTACACATGACAAGTACACACCATACTGAACAGTACTGATCACTGGAGGGGTGGTTTAAAGTCACAAAGACCAACTTACTTACAGATTTCTATGAAAGCACAGCAGATACACAGTGGCTAATAAAATACCCAAACACATGGAGAACTGTGATGCCAAGAACAGTATTTGGCATATAACTATCTGGCAATAAGTATTTATTGATATCATTTTAAATAAATGAATTGAGAAATTAATAAGATGTTAAACTTTTTTTCCTTCCTCTGAGTCACAAAATTAAACTCAAAGTTAAAAAAAATTCTGAATTATCACACAGGAGTCTAAATACTTCCATCAGAAAAATAAAGTATTTATCTCTCTGTTTTACTTCAGTTATCATTTTGGTCTTCTAAGGGGATCTTATTTTTAAAAGATAAACCTTCCCTGACACTCTCTGTTCCTCTAAGACTGGGTTGGGTGGCTTATCCCAGCACCCTGTGCCCGCACCCCATTATGTACTATTGCACCAGCTTACCTGTCTCCACCATTCCCCTTCCACCCCCAAACTATATGCCCCCGATACAGGGCCAGGTCCTAGTAAAAAATGCCTGCATATAGAAGGCACTCAATAAATAACTGCCAAATGAATAAGTGATGGTATAATTACGACATGTGACTTCATTAAAAATAAATATTTGGAGAAAAAAAATTATTATTTTGAAGGCTCATAAATATCAGTCATGAACTTACTATTTTTCTTCACCTGGTTCATCTGAAGCATGGCAATAATTGCAGATTCAATATTATAATTTTCAGCTTCCAGGTTCTGGACTATTAAATCAAAATCCTATCCAAGAAACAAAGGACACTTCAAGACTCTGGGTGGGCATACTTTTTAATCTAGCTGTACTTGAACAATCATAAACAGGAGGATATACACTAGTAAGAACTGAACAAGGTTTCAGGACCTTTTCCATTTAGAAAATGTCAGTTTTCAATAAGGTTGGTCACTTGAAATAACCATTCAATGTATGTTTATAAATTAATTCCCTTTATAGAACTGCACTTGTACTGCTTGCAGACACTAGTCAGAACGAATTAACTCCAAGTACTTCCTTGGGACTTTGAGCAGTATTGGGTAAAATCTAGCAAACAAGAGGGAAATGAACAAACAGCTCTCCTTAAGTCATACCACACAACCTAATCAAACTACAACACTCACGGGCTCATTTGGCCCACAGGTGTTGGCATGCTAGCGTGGTGCTACAGAACTAGCAGATAAACTAGGCACAGCAAGGCTTGCTTCTAGATCCATTACTGCAGGCAGAAATACTAACTGAACATCCAGTTGCATTACAAACTTTCTGGACAGCATCTTCTACTTCATCTCTCAAGTCGTCTTCCAAGTCAATTCCCTTTGTCTTGTTCTTTTCTCTTTTATTTGATTCATCTTGATGAAGCATCTGAAACTAAAGAAAACAAAGAATAATAATCATGGAACTCCAGCAAATTATGTTCACAATCTTCAACATAAGAAGATATTCTCATCTCAAAACATTCAAAGATATAGGGGGAAAGATTCTAGAAGCAATCTTAAAAGAACAGCTATGACCAGGCTAAATTTTATCCACCTAATATGATTCAAGTCATAGCAGAAGAATTAAAAAGAAAAACCCAGGGACAGAATGAACTGCTCAGTGTGAATGGCATTAGGGCTCTCATGCTTTCTAGATGCCAACAGTGGCAATGATTGCTGACTGGGGCAGCACACAGACATGTGTCTTTCGTGATTTTCAGAAATGTGAGCTTTACAACAGAATGGGACCCTCTACCCTCACACCCTACGAGTTTTTACAGATATGCTTGTCTTGAAGAAACATACATACAACTTTCATCTGGTTTCCCATGCCTTATTTGATCATCAGCAAGCTTCAAGGCACTGAAGCTCCTGTCCCAGATGGAGCCACAGGTGAGTATAACTCATCTGACCTTCGGTACATGCCATCACACTTAGGGGAACCTGTCAATACAAATTCTAAAACCACAAAGAGCAGTGCACCGGGAGTCCATGAGGTCTTTATAACCTTAGCCCAAATCAGAAAAGCTAAATTCATACCTCTGTGGCTGCACAGCCACATTCTCCTTCTACTTCCCACTAATGCAGGGAGTTAATAGCCAAAGACATTTCTACTTTTTACATGTAAAAGTATAATGGAGTCCAACAACACGCAGTACATTCCTTGCAATGTTAATACAAAGCATTCTATTATAAAACTATACCCTAACATATATACGTAACAACTGGCAATGAGTTACAAAAGTCTTTGACCCAGTAGTTTCACAGTTTTAAAATTTAGCCATAGGAAATGATGTCAAATAGAGGAAAGTTCTGTGTAAAAGTGCTCACAACAGTGTTACTTATAGTGGTGAATAACTGGAAACAACCTAAAGGTTTTGTAGTACCAGTATGATTAAATAAACCACTGTATGCCGGACTTGGTGGCTCAGCCTATAATCCCGCGCTTTGGGAGGCTGAGGTGAGTGAATTGCCTGAGCCCGCGGGTTTGAGACTCGCCTGGGGAACTTGGAGAGAGCTCATCCCTACAATAAATCAAAAAATTAGCTGGGCGTGGTAGTGCGTGCCTGTAGTTCCAGCTACTTAGAAGGCTGAGGCGGAAGGATTGCCGGAGCCCAGCAGGTCAAGGCTGCGGTGGCCGGGAGCGGCCACTGCATTCCAGTCTAGGTGACAGAGTGAGACTCCAACTCAAAAAATAAAATAAAATAAAATATCCACTGTAAATCCACAGAATATTGTCTTCATTCCCATTAAAGTAAGGAACACAATAAGGATTTCCCTACCAACATTACTATTTAACAACATTTTGGAGGTAACAGCCAAAGCAATTAGCCAAAATTAAAAAACCAGAAGTATGAAATTTAAAAGGAAAAAGAAAAGTAATCACTGAGCCAGGCAAGGTAGCTCACACCTGTAATCCCAGCACTTTGGGAGGCAGAGGTCAGAGGAGTACCTGAGCCTGCAGGTTTGAGACCAGCCTGGGCAGAATGGTGAGACCTCATCTCTACAATCTCTAGCTGGGCATGGGAGCACATGCCTATAGTTCCAGCTACTTGGAAGGCTGAGGTGGGAGGATTACCTGAGCCCAGCAAGTCAAGGCTGTGGTGGCCGTGAGCAGCATACCACTGCACTCCAGCCTGGGCAATAGAGTGAGACTCTGACTCGGAGACTCTGACTCAAAAAAAAAAAAAAAAAGAAAAAGAAAATAATCACTGTAGACAATTCTATACCTGCAAAAACAAGAGAATCCAAAAGAAAAACTACCAACAAAAATAATTACAGCAAATTGATATATATTTGATAAGAATCTAGTATCCAGAATATATAAATAACTCTTAAAACTCAAAATAAAAGGTAAAACCCAATGTAAAAATAGGCAAGAGACTTGAATAGATATTTTTTCAAAGATATATAAATGGCCAAAAAATCACATGAAAAGATGTTCAATGTCATTAGTCATCATGAAAACGTAAATCAAAACCATAAGATGACCCCACACACAGAAAAAAAAGAAAAATAACAAGTGTCCAAGATGATGCAGAGAAAGTAGAGCTTTCATATATCGCTGGTGTCATTATAAAATAGTGCAGCTACTATGGACAATAGCTTGGCAGTTGCTCAAAAGTTAAATTTAGAATTACCATATGACCCAACAATTCTACTCCTAGGTATATCCCAAAAGACTGAAAATAGGTACTGAAATAAATACTGTACACAAATACAGCAACACTATTCTCAATAGCCAAAAGGTAGGGATGATCCAAATGCTCATCAACAGATAAATGCATACACAAAACATCCAAGCAATGGAACACTATTCAGCCATTAGCGAGAACAAAGTACTGATACATGCTACAATATGATAGAAGCACAAAAAAAACTATGCCACGTGAAAGAAGCCAGACAGAAAAGGCCACATGTTGTATGATTCCACGTATATAAAATGTCCAGAATAGGTAAATTCACAGAGACAAAAGGAAATGGGTGGTTGCTAGGGGAAAGGGGGAAAAGTGAGTCACTGCTTAATAGGTGCAGGGTTTTCTTTGGGGTGATGAAAATATTCTGGAACTAGATAGACGAAATGGTTGCACAAAAAACACTGTGGATGTGACAAATGCTGCTGAACTGTATATTTTAAAATGGTTAATTTTATATTATCTGAATTTTGCCTTAATTTTTTTAAAAAAGAGTTCTGTGGGATATCTAGATATGTAATTAACATTTTTTTACAGCTCTCATATACAAATAAACCAGCTAGAAAATATAAAGGAAAAAGTCCCTTTAGAATAGAAACAAAAACCCAAAACACCTAAAAATAAACAAAAAGGGCAAGATCTATATGAAGAAAATGCTGGATCACAAAAAGGTCATTTAAACAAATAAAAAAGTTTACCAGGTTCTGGGCAAGGAATACTTAACATCAAAAAGATATTAATTTTTCCTTACTCTATTAGCTAATGAGATCCCAATTTTTAAAAACTCAGCAGGACTTCTTTTTAACTAGACATACTGATTCTAATATTCTTTAAAAAAAAAAAAAAGGAATACATAGAAACTCTAAAAAAGAAAATTTTAAGTGAAAAACTCTACCATATTTTAAAATATATTCTTACTAATTAAAACAATGAAGCATCGACACATGAACAGGGAGATCAGTGAAACAGAACCAAATGTCTAGAAATAGACCCACATGCATATGGGAATTTAGTATATGGTGAAAGAAAGTGGCATTTTAAGTCAGTGGAGAAAAGATGTATAATAATAAATGGTTTGGGTGCAACTAGGTAACCACAAGGATCCATATCCTTACACCCCTATATGAATATAAATTCCAAATGGAGTCAAGATTTAATTTTTTATAAATAAAACTATGAAAGCACTACAATAAACTTGGGGAGAATTCTTTTCAACCCAGGAATGTAAAAGACCTTCCTAGTTATGACCCAAAATCCAAAGGGCATATAAAAAAATACTAACAAATTTAACCTCATAAAAATTTAAAGTTCATTCATAGCAAAGACCACAAGACAAAGAACAAAAAGACAAATGACAGAGCATTAAAAAAAATTTGCACTTCAAGCTCAACAAATCTGGATCTGCCCCTGGGCCTTGCCCTTTGGAAGGGGCCTGTCTGTGTATTTGAGGGGCTAAGAGGTATTAAAAGCCCCTGAAACTTGGCTCATTTAACTTCATTGCAGACCTGCCTCTGGTTTTTTATTTTTCATATGGATGTATTTCTATAGAGTTACATGTTAAGTAAGTACGTCAAAGTATACAAGGATAGATAATTCAAAGTATACAAGGATAGATATTACAATCAGTCAGCAGCTAATTTCCCTAATATATAAAAAGCTCCTAAAAATCGAGACAACCTAATAGGGAAAAAATGGGCAAAGAAAATAAATACAGGTTCATGAAAAAGGAAATACAAATAGGTCTTAAACACAGGAAAAGATGCATAAACTGACTAATAAGAGAAATGCAAATTAAAACTAGGTTAGGAAAGCATTTTTTTCCCCTATCAATGAAAAGATTTAAAAATTGGTAACACACTGTGTTGGTAAAGGTGTAGGGAAAGAGCCACATATTTCAAGTGGGAGTGTAAACAATAAAATCTTGATAGAAAGCAATCTGACCTTACCTACCAAAATCCTTTGAAGCAGCAAGGACTTTCTAGGAATGTATCCTACAGATACACTCACATGTGCGAAATGAGGTACATAAAAGGCACTGCACATTGTTTATAACGGCAAAGGTATGAAAACCATCTAAAAGCCATTGAGGGGCTGGTCCAGAATGCTATAATGCATCTACACAACAGAATACTATGCAGCCTCTAAAAAAGATACAGGAAGTTCCTTATGCACGGCTATGAATTAAACTTCAAGACATGTTAAATTTAGGAAGCAGGATGTGAGAGTAGGATGTGTAGTAACTGTAGGATGCTACAGCTGGTGGTGGAGGGAGTGCAAAAATGACAAAAGTAGAATACATGCACATCCTCATTTGCTGGGTATGTAAAATATCCCTAGGAGATTTTATGGTATGCTGATACCACTGGTGGCATCCAGGAAAGACAGTGTGGCTAAAGTACAAGGACAGGAATGTGGCTTTTGCTATACATACCACATGTACTTTGAGTTCTGATTCATGTACAAACGTGACCTACTCAAGAATTAAAATTGTTTAAAAAAGATGGCTTCAGAAAATGTGTAAAAATGTGAGAAAAGGCTTATTAACTGAAAAAAGAAGGAAACTAAGTTATATAAATAATACAATCTCAACCTTTAATGCATTAAATGACTGAAAGGACCAAAACAGTAACAAAATTTAAATCCAGGTAGCTGATTCTGTGCATTCTATTTTTTCCTTTAGCATGACTATAGTTTTCAGACTTTAGAAAAGAAGCATAGGTTCATTTTAAAACATGAAAGTAATTTTAAGTTGTTATATATTATATAGACATATAGCTACCAACTGTTAGGGAAAGCAAAAGAATGACAAGCAATTTCATCTGTTGCGCTGAACTAAAAAATAAATAATATATTAAAAATTAAGCCCACAGATTCTGAAAGCCAACTTTCCATAGAAACATCACTGGTTTTTAGCTCCAAGGCATAGAGTTCTTGCAGGGCTTCCTGCAGGGCTGAGAACACAGAAGAAATCCGAGGCCTCACTCACATCTGTCTGGAGATGTGCGGGTGCTTCTGAGTTGTCGTTGATCCTCCGAACACTGTCGTAGTGCTCTCCATACCGATATGCGATATGCAACTCCCTCACGTTGTTTTTATCTGTACCACGAATCTGTAGATGAAAGAAGGGGACATGCTGGTGAGGATTTGGACGTGTCAGTTCCTGGAGAGAAACGCCCACCTGGATTGCCCAGGAATCCCACTCCACAGGCTCTATACAGGCACCACCTGGGAGTATGACTGGGGTATGAGCAATTTCTGAATTATCTATCCTTGTATACTTTGACGTACTTACTTAACATGTAACTCTATAGAAATACATCCATATGAAAAATAAAAAACCAGAGGCAGGTCTGCAATGAAGTTAAATGAGCCAAGTTTCAGGGGCTTTTAATACCTCTTAGCCCCTCAAATACACAGACAGGCCCCTTCCAAAGGGCAAGGCCCAGGGGCAGATCCAGATTTGTTGAGCTTGAAGTCCAAATAATCTGGGGGCCTCTTTCTGGAAAAGAATACAGCATTACAAATATACAGTTGGTGGAATCCCTCCCAAAATGCTGAAAGGGAGCCACACAGACGAGGAGCCTGATACTCAGGTTTCATTAGCTTCATGGTAAACCTGCCACTGCTGTTAAAGCAAAAATGGTCTTTTTCATCAACCACATAAGCGAGAAACATAATCCACAATAAACCCAAATATCTCTCTTACATCAGCTTCAAAACCAAATTATATACAGTAAAGCAATACTGCCACTTGCATAAGCCTGGAGGCGTCACTTACAAGGTACTCTATGTGAACTGCACCCTGAAGCCCAACACAACAAGAATGGGGCTCCCTAGAGTCATGCAACAGTGAAGCCATAAAGTCTGGGCATATCCCCCAAAACCACCATCTCCACAGAAACTCGAATTCTGACTTGTCCCTTAGAAAGCTAGTAACTGTTTCTTTGTTAAAACTCCAAACATCAGTACCTCCTTCTTATTTTTACTAAAAGTCATAGGTAGTAAGGTACTACCATTAATTTAAATAGTATCCATGGTCTAGAAACAACAACAAACAGGGAACCATGCAGGCCAGGATGTCAGAACTGTGGAAGTTTTCTCTAGTAGAATACCAAGATCTCAAAGGGCAGAGTCTGGTTTGGACACACACCAGAGATATAGAGACAGAGATATACGGAGATAGTACTATTTGTCTACTGAGAAAGGAAATAGTTTATTAGAATCTTTGAATGACATAACCCCTAAAGCACTTACATATTTGATGATATATACACACACACTATGATTATACATACACATACACACACACACAATGAATAGAAAAAAATACCTGGAAGAACAGTCACCAAATTGTTTACTGTTATTTTCTTTTCTTTCTTTTTTTGACCTGAAGTCTCACTCTGTCACCCAGGCTGGAGTGCAGTGACTCCTCACGGCCACTGCAACTGCAGCCTTGACCTGCTGGGCTTAGGCAATCCTTCCGTTTCAGTCTTCCAAGTAGCTGGAACGTACAGGCATGTGCCACCACACCCAGCTAATGTTTTGATTTATTGTAGAGATGAGGTCTTGCCAAGTTGCCCAGGTTGGTCTCGAACCCACGGGCTTAGGCAATCCTCTCACCTCTGCCTTCCAAAGTGCTGGGATTACAGGTGTGAGCCACTGCATCCAGCCTACTGATTTTCATGGGGAGATTACAGAGGACTTTCATATTCTATGTTACACACATCTAGATTGTTCACAGGAGCACATTTTCCATTTGTAACCAGAAAAAAACTAGGTTTCAGTAACTCATGTTGTGGATATAAGCCCACTCATTATTAATGAACGAGTTCAAATCCATGATAGTAACAACCAATGCAGTCTCAATTCGAAGATGCTTCACTGAGTAGAAGACATAGGGGAGAGCCAATGGAAAACAAAACAAATTTATTTTAAATACATACACTTTCAATATTCAGTAATGATGAAGGGGAACATTCCAGAAATAAATTTTTTTAAAAAATTCTAACTATGCACAATTATCTTCCACAACTACCTAGGCAGCAATTAAGAAACTCTTTAAAAAGTCATCAATGGAGGAAAGGCAAGCTATGGTTACTGAGTTGGCACTGAGTATCTACCTTTAAGAAGAGGGTCATTATGCTAAACATTCAAATGATTTGATAACTTCTGTCAAACAGTATAAATTTAAGGATAGAAAATTGGAACAAAGGGATAATCAGTCTTCTTGGCTCAAAGAGTACCCTCAGAAAGAGAGAGCCCCACTACAAATATGATAGCTCTACCTGGAGTCCTGGTGTTGGCACATTTGGAAACACTGCCCCAAAGAACACACACAGATACTCTTTCATGCCTGCTTGTTATATCCCTGTACAGTAAAATTCCGCACCAGCTCATGGAGTTTCTATTTTATTTTGCTGTAGTATAATTTTGTTAGAAGACACTGTCAGACACAAAAGTTTGCATTCTTCCATTTATGTGACATTTTTAACGGCAAAACTGCAAGGACAAGTCAGAGAGTGGTTACAAGAGGATGGGATAGGAAGGGGGAAAGTAGTGATTGCAAAGGGTCAGTAGGTAACTTTTGAGAGTGTAGACTAGTCTATATGTTACTAGTGGCGGTGGTTACAAGATTGTGTTTGTTAAAACACAAAACTGTACACCTCTGAAAAGGCTGAATTTTGCTATATGTAAATTATGTCTCTATAAACCTGACTTTTTTTTAATGAGCAAAGACTATGATTGAGCAATTTACATAGGAGTACACAAATATACAAGTGGCATGTGAAAAAAAGGATATTGTTACCTTTACACTAATAATATATACAGGAACATGTGTGTGCATGTTTAAAATGTGTGTAAAAACATTGTGCTCTGTACCTTTCCAGTGCTGTGTGAATGATACAGAAGCACACTAAAACATTAACAGTAATAATTTCTGGGTAGTGTAACTCTGGGTAACTTCATTTGCCTTTATGGGCTTTTGTGAATTTTCAAATTTTTCTACAATTAACACATTTTAACTTTTTAATTAGAAAAAAGTCAGAAACGGAGGTGCAGTGGAGTGAGGCAAGGGTGAGGGGGTTAACAGAAATACCACACTCAGTCTTCAGGAGCTGAGCTACAAAGCCACAAGGAGCACCCTGAACTCAAGGAGGAAGAGTCATGGGTAGCAGCCTGCACACACTCTCAGCCTGCCTTTTCATCTTCCACACTCCCTAATGCTCGGTTTGATGGATTGCTTAGGAGATTAGCTTAATTTAGGATACCAGAGGTGAAGAAGGGTGAAGAGTTGAATGGACATCTACTTCAACATGGGGGAAAAAAAGAGGAAAAACTCAAGGCTTAACAATGTGTTCCGCCATCCTACAGCACAAACTTAACACTTGTAAAATCTTATTTGCTGTCAAAAACCCACCAAACTGTTAAGTAGAGCTGAGGAAGGCACAGAAATGGAGCTTGACATCCTAGGCCACAACATAAATTTTGTTGTTCAAAACATACTTTTTAGCAATGATTATAATGAAATTGGTCTTTTTGTTTCCCTCTACCTAAAAAGCACAAGAACACATACAGGAACAGGCACACTTCAAAACTAGAATTTGTATGCACTAATCCTTTAAATTCTGACTCATATATTTTTATGGAATTATCCAAAGTATTTCCAAATTAGGTGTCTGCCTCCAAATTGCCCAACTAATTGTTGAATAACATTTATGGCATTTTCTAAATTATGCTCCAGACTCCATTTGTATATAGCAGGGATTCACTACTAGCCACAGGATTCCCATTTTTGGTTAGGCTTGCAGTCCACCTTAACTCTATCACAGAACAAGCACCATTGTCTTAGAATATCACCAAAGGTAATTTATAAGAGCTTAAGACAAATTTCTGAATAGGTGACCTACCTGCCACAAAGGGGCATTAAGTTGATGAATCACCACATTCAATTGATGATTTCTTGCAAAGGCTACAATTGCATCATTGCCAGCAAAAGTACCAGGCTTTGCCAAACTGGCCACTGCATAAAAATAGGAAAGAAAAATGGAGTCTTTATAATAGAAAAATCCAAATGCAAACACACTTTGGTATTTATTTAGCTTCAAATAATGAGAAACAAGAATATATATCTGAAATGTCAATTAGCTTTGTCAGAATCTAGGAATTAAGCTGGTAGAACAATATAGACTGCTACTCAGAAAGATACAAATCATTTTATAAAGGATTCATTTTTTCCTTCAATAAATATTTAATGATTACTTGCTATATGCCTACCTCTATAAAACACACTGGAAATGTAACGAAAAAGTAATCCTAACAGCCTACTTTAATGAATGCTTATTAAGTGTCAAGAACTGGTCTAATCACGTCTCATAGATTATCACTTTTAATTTTCAAAACAATCTTCTAAAAGAAGTATTACTATGCATGCTATTTTATAGATGAGAAAACCGAGGTGTAGCAGAATTAAAAACTGTTCCTAAGGTCACAAAACTGGCACACAATGGAGTTAAGATTTCTCCCAGGCAGCCCCACTACAAAGCCTTGACTCTTGGCCACTCCATCAGTTTGCCCTCATGGAGTTTACAATCAGTGGGAGGCAAACAAGAAGACAGGCACTAATTATGCATAAGTGCTTTGGAAAGGGCATACACAGTAAATGACTAACCTGGCCTTCCCACAGAGAGATCTGGCCTTTATGCCCAACTCCTGGGAAGTAACCTCTAAGCTTTTCGAATTTGCAAAGCTGAGAGGAGTATCTTTGTTATTCAAGATGGACCCCTTGCCACATGTGGAATCAGCCCACGATATCAGCTATATGACATCAGCCCTTTGTGGTAGGGGGTAAGACTGAATTCAACCACTTAGACAAGCAATAAAATCAATACGCAAAAACAAAAAAAAATCTGGACACCAAAGTTGGGATGAGCTTCTCTGGTTGACAATACTATGTGCACTGTCACACACGGATATCTGTGCCCTGAAAACAATGGAAGCTTCATGTTGGAACCTTTCCAGACTGTAGTATGCATTTCTTCCTTTGGCTGTTACTGATCTGAATCTCTTCCCTGTAATAACCATAACTGTTTAACATGACAGTGTTCAGTGAGTTCTGTGAGTCCTACTAGCAAATTATTGAACCTGAGGGTGCTTCTGAGAAACCCCACATTTGTAGATGATGTCAGAAGTGAGGGAAGTCTTACAAGGATTGTGCCCTCAAACTCTGCAGTTTGGCTAACTCCAGGTCAGGAACATAATAAACCAGTGTAAGAGCAGGGACAAAGAATTAAAGTGTATGAGATAAGTTTTTTAGTGGAGACAACTAGGCTGATGACCAAAGGACATGGAGCACTTACAGCAGAAATAGTTGATATTCCAAGAAGGGGTAAGAGAGAGATTGTGGACTCTGGAATGGCAGGAACCAAGAATGCTGAGACGGAGGGAATAGGGGAAGTGAGAAAATGTTGGGGGAGATGGTAAGAGATTAAGGTAGAAAAACAAGAAAAATCACAGCTCATGAAGCACTAAAATGTTTGGGGCTCTATCTGAGGTCAGTGAAGAGCCACCGACACGTTCTAGATAGAGGCATAATGCAAGTAGATCACCATCCTGGCTGCAATGTGGAAAACAGACTGAAGGCACCAAGTGACAATGATACCAGCCCAAACAGTACAGAGGAAATCTGTAGGCAAATGGCTACAGAAGCCTGACTGTGAGGCAGTAGCAATGAAAGAAAACTACTGCGGTAGAGTGATAAGATGTAACAAATGGGCATGAGCAGGAAGGGAGATGTGTCACTAAAAATACTTCGGTTTCCAATCTGGATATCTGTAAAGTTGGAAAAAAGATGTTGCTAATTCTCCAAAGCCACAGTCTAAAGAAAAGGAATAATCCTAAAGATATAACCAGATGCAAGGTTAACTAAGTCCTCAATAGCTTAGTGAACCATTCACTTATTCATTCAACAAATATTATGAATGCCAACCAGATACCAAGCATTGCCATACCAGAAAACAAAGGCACAGTCCTTGCCTTCAAGACTCTCACAGTAACTAGGTAGGCAGACATTAAAAACAGGTTAAGAAAGCCGGGCTCGGTGGCTCAGCCTGTAATCCCGTGCCTTTGGGAGGCTGAGGTGAGTGGATTGCCTGAGCCCCACGGGTTCGAGACCCGCCTGGGCAGCGAGACCTCATCTCTACAATAAATCAAAAAATCAGCCGGGTGTGGTAGCGCATGCCTGTAATTCCGGCTACTTGGAAGGCTGAGGCGGAAGGATTGCCGGAGCCCAGCAGGTCGAGGCTGCGGTAGCCAGGAGTGGCCACTGCACTCCAGTCTGGGCGACAGAGTGAAACTCCAACTCAAAAAAAAAAACAAACAGGTTAAGAGTCATTAATGTAAAAAGTCAAGCCTTCGACCAACACACAAGGAGAAGGTGCAGCTTCCAGGTATCTTTTCATTTTCGCTCTGGCAGTCAAAGCCACTTCTCACTTCTCTGACGCTCATATTCTTATGCACCACTAAATGTCAGGCATGTACAGTGACATTTCAAGAAAACACCTTTCCAATGACACATAAAGTGACCATATGTTGGTAACTGAAGGTGTGAGTTCCCTGTCCTGCCATACTCCCAAATCCAGCATATGACCATCACTGACTATGTTCAAAGTGGAATTTCATATCACAAACTAAAATTTCATTTCATCCAAAACAATATTTTAATTGGACCCCTGACACAACAATTCATTTTAACTAGCACTAAACTATAAAACTTGCCCCATATACATACATTTAATTTGTAAACTGCTGATTATCTGGTAAACTCTGTCTATCTGCTAGACAAAAAGTAATCCTAGGAAGAGGGAACCATCAGAACTCAGCGACTGGTATAAGCCACCTGTTAGAAATTTTGTTGCTGTGTCTGGTACCTAATGAATGAGTTCTTTCCGAGTGAGGAGTGGGAAAAGCTTTGGGATCACTAACAGCTTCCCTCTCAAATATCCCCCGCCACCTAGCCATTCTCCAAGTAGAAACTTCAAAATCACCCTTGTCTCTTTCCTCTACCCTCCTCAACTCCAATGAGTCCTGTCAATTATATGACCAAAGCACAGCTTGGTTTGGGGCCCACTCATTATCCTTAGCAGCTGCCTTGATGGAGACCTCCTTCACTCTCATCTGGCCAATACGGAGAGCCTTCCAACTAGTCTCGCTTCTCAGTCTCTCTCCCCATCCATTCTCGATAAGGCCTCCCGAGTTAGCTCTCTAAATTACAGAATTGATTCTGGTTTCTGTCTCTTTTCTGATAAGACACAAAAAAGACTATGAGCCCTGAGATGAGAATGCTATTTGTAAAACAAATATAACAGCACCTAGCACAGATCCTCAGTAAATATTTGTTGAAATTAAAGTTTAAAGTTCACATGCACTTCCTTATTAGATATGTGCCTATTAAATAGGAAACAATAAGAATCACTAACTGGCTGTATGTGGTGACTCACACCTGTAATCCCAGCACTTTAGGAGGCTGAGGTAGGATTACTTGAGCCCAGGAGTTGAGAACAGCCTCAGCAACATAGTGAGACCTCATCTGTACAAAAAATATTGTTTTAATTAGCCATGTATGGTGGCATGCACCTGTATTCCTAGCCATTTGGGACAGGAAGATCACTAAGACAGGAAGATCACTTGAGTCCAGGAGGTCAGAAAGGCTGTAGTGAAGTGGGATCATGCCACTCTAGTCTGGGCGACAGAGTGAGACCCTGCCTCAAAATAAATAAAATCACTAACTGACTTGCCTCAAAGAAAACAGGTTGTGTTTGGCGTTTTGGTGAGAAATTAACATGATTTTACTACTTTTTCTGATTGTAAAAGTAATACATGATCATCTAAAAGTGAGAAAAATCTACAGAAGATAATTTAAAATCTCAAAGTCCCACCATCCCCAGATGGCTAACGCTTACTAACAGCTTATTTTAATTTTGTTATCTAATTTAATCTTCACAAAAAACCCTATGAGATGGTTGCTATTTTTATCTCCCTTCTACAGAAGTTTAAAGAGAGTAATTTCTGAAAAATCAATGACAATAACAAACATAAAAAGTTAGTGTCTTCCCAGACTTTTTCTATTGTCTCTGTCTGTATGTACCTTTTACAAGTGGGATCGATGTATACACACTATTTTGTAGCCTGCTTTTCCCACCCCACTGAGTAAGAAGTAATGAGCAGCTCTGTAGGTCAATTAACATTATCATCTTTATTAAGGGTATATACAACTAACCCTACTGATTCCCAGTTGCCAGCATGCCACCAGCTACAGAGCAAGCAAGAAAATGTTGGCTGAATTAATCAGTGCCACAATCTATGTAACCACACCTTTGGCTGGGAAGGTGGAGGATGCCAGTGGACTAATTACCCAATGCATTACTCCTGAAGGACCCATATCCCAGGTGAACCTACCATGCTTCTCAAAAGGAATGTCATCTTCTACAAAGGGTTCAAAATCTTCCCGCTGCTTTATCATGTAGTCCACTGTCTCTTGTCGATGCTTGAGATGATTTCGTGAGTGTCCCTCCAATTGATCACCAAGAGCTCTGAACAAGCAATTGCTGTTGAAACAAAAACACTGGTCAAGACCTTTCAAAAATGAACTTAGGTCACCTAAAACATCAGTGCTTCACGCCAGGTGATCCACAAAAATCTTTCATGCACAGAAGTAAAGCCTCAGCTCTAATAGTCCAGGATCCAGGGCTGGGAGCACTTGGGCAGATATTTCAGCCACATAACATTCTTGAGAGGCAACAAACAAGGATTCTATTCCCACTTACAAGCTAACTGACTCCAGAGAGTTATTAAACTTCCCTGGGCCTCAGCTGCTTCAACAAGTGAAGTTGGTGATACACTAATCACCTGAATATAAGGTTCCAATCTTACAGGTCATTCCACACAGGCTATGATTTACAGATCCCCTTCCAGAATGATGTCATATCTACTGCCTCTTTTCTGAAACACGCTTCACTGCAACTGCCCAGCTAAGTAATCATTCATTTAACAAAGTGTACCCAAAAGACAGTAATTGCCAAGCTCCCAATACAAACAACTGAACTCAATACCGTTTGAGTCCTAAGAACATAGTGGATAAAGTCATAAGAAAGCACTTGGATGACAAGCAGCTGTACCATGGAAAGACACATCCTCCCCTGCCTCCTCACTTGTCACTCAGGGAGAGTAATGCCACTGTTATTCCTGCCAAATAAAACTTTACACACCGTGTTTTGCTTTTTTAAAATTATAATGCTAGTAATAAACTGTAAACGTTATCTTTACTTTCAACCTGCTCAAAGGCTTCTAAAATTTCAAACTGTATCACAAACACAGAGGCTCAGAAACACAGACTGAAACAAGACAAACACAATCTGATATCCTACAACTAAGGAAATAAATCATTCTAAAGCCAAACAGTTGTCCTGTTTCACACCAACTGTTTACTCTTCCAAATGAAAAACTATGATACTCTAATTCCAAAATATAAACTCACTACTTTTAGAAAGATTTTATACCTAAATATGTAGAGGAAGAAGAGATTTGGTTTTTTAACTCAGAAAAGTGAGTTTTTAATAGAAAGCTATAGAGAGGCAGGAATGTCTTCTAATGCATAAGGATTTACATATTTTTTTCAGAGAAAGGGAGAATTTAAATAAGACAGAGTCTATAAATCAGAAACCAAGAAGCATTGCATCAATCTGAGACAAGATTCTAGAATAAAGTGGAATATGGAGTTCTGCAGTCTACACTGAAGTGTCTGTTGCTAAAATCTTGACAATGGCAGTCTTTTTTCAACCACAGGAAAAAAAGTAAGCTAATGGATAAATTTTCAATGTTAAGCTTTTCTCTCAAACTTTCTTAAACCTTTAGCATCTGCCACCACTAGTCTATTCTTGAATCTAGTCTAACAGGAGGTGTGGGCTGGGTGTGGTGGCTCATACCCATAATCCCAGAATATCAGGAGGCCAAGGTGGGAGGATTACCTGAGGCCAGGAATCCAAGACAAGCTTGGGCAGCATAGCGAGACCCCCATCTCAAAAAATTTTTGGAAAAAAAAAGAGGTGTAATTTACTACAAATTTATTAGTTATTTTATATTTCATGCACCAAAAGTCATGGTATTCTACAGAGTAACATACTTGCTAAGAGCTCTTGGTAACATGGGCAAATGTTCCCCTTATATGCCAAAAAATTAGGTCTAAAATTTGTACACTGCATGAGCTCAATCAAGTTCATCTGTATACTATATACATACACAGACATAGAAACACACAGAGAGAGAGAGAGAGAGAGAGGAATGTAGGCAAAGAAAAAAACACCAAAACAACCACTTAAATAGCTCTTACAATGTACCAGAGACTGTTCTAAGTATATTAAATATATTAAATGTGTTTAGTCCTCACAACTCTATGAATAGGTACTATTACCATCCCCCAAGGGCAATTTGCCCAAGGTCACAAAACTAGTAGGTGGTGGGCCCAGGATTCAAGCCCAGGCAACACCAGATGTCAACACCAAAATGTTAGCCACAGTTATCCCTAGATAGTAGCATTAAGAGTAATTGTTTAATTTATTTCAGAACACTTTTCTATATTTATCAAACTTTCTTTGCACTCATTAAAAACAAGTCAAGATGAGTCTAACTCCACCTTTTTCTGATAGGGTCACAAGGTAGTAACAAAGGAAACATCAGCACACACTATAGTGACCTGGGTTCCCTTAGGGAGCCCAGCAAGGGCCCTGAGAACAAAGCATCACTGCCCAAAGGATCTCTAGGAGATCCAAGCGCTTCCTGCATTCACACTCTTGCCCATAGCACTACAGCAAGGCTTCACAGCCTCCACACTATTGGCATCCGAGGATGGTTCTTTCTTGTGGGAGGCTTTACAATGCACTGTAGGATGATGCCCACTAGTTGCCAGTAGTACACCACCACCTCTCTCTCCATCAGTTTCAACAACCAAAAACATCTCCAGACATTGCCAAATGTCCCCTGGGAGGGCAAAATCATTCCTGCTTGAGAACTACTGTGCTATAGGGATGTATGTAAGAACAATTCCATAAGCAGCACGTAAAAATGTTGGATGCTCAATAATTTAGTATTAGACAATACAGCAATACAGGCACCAAAAAACAAACAAAAATGGGATCTTAGGCAGCAATAAGAGTAGTTATACAGAAAAAGAAAGGGAAGGTTTTGTTCTCTTCTTTGAGGTCAGACCACAGCTAGGGTGCTGTGTTTACTACATTCTAAGAGAAACAAGTTCAGATAAGATGATGTGGCTTTAAACTACATATGACCAACATGAACAATATAAGCAAGATGTTTAGTCTCAAGAAGGCTGGGGGGACATAATAGCTTCCTCAACTGTCCTGGAAAATGAAAATCATACTTGTACACTAAAACTAAAGTATGGAAGCTATAAAGACACAGACTTTGGTAAATAAAAGGAAATTCTCTTAGCTCTATACAGATTGATGCTATAGACTCAGGATTTTGCAAATTTCTATCACCAGCAATTCTCAGCAACTGTCTAGATCTCTGCTGTCCAATACAGTAGCCATGAACCATATGTGACCAGCAAGCACTTGAAATAGGGTTGACACAAAGTGGGGTAAGTTTTAAGTGTAAAATACTAGATTCTGAAGAGTTCATATGAGAAAAATGAAAAGATCACTGATAATTTTTATGTTGAATAATTTGTACATACTGAAATGATATCTTAGATATAGTGGCTTAAATAAAATAAATCAAAATTATTTTCACCTGTTTCTTTTTTATGTGACTACTGGAAAAATTATAAATGGCATACTGGCTCACATTCTATTTCTACTGGACAGTACTCTTCTACATGACTGATTCTCAAAGTGTGTTCCCTGAATAGAAACATCAGTATCCCCTGGGAATTTGTTAGAAATGAAATTCTGGGGCCCCACTCCAGACCTACTGAATCAGACTTTCTGGGGTTGGGACCCAGCAATCCAGTCCTTCCAGGTGTTTTACTAGCACCCCAGGAGATTATGCTGCATGCTAAAGTTTGAGAAACACTAGTCTGGAATCCTGACTCTAAATCAGTGGTTCTCAATTATGGCTGCATATAAGAATCATCTGTGACACTTTAAAAACTCTAACAATAACCAGGCCCCACTAAGATATTTATGTAGCTGATCTGGGGGAGAGCTCAGGCCCTGCATTTTTTCAAAGCTCCCTCACCAGGTGATTCTAGTGTGGCACCAGGGTTGAAAAACCACTAAGCTAGGTACAAAAGACAGGGCTGCTATACAAGTAATGCAGACACTAATAGCTACTCAGACATGATGATTTGTGCATACCTTTCCACTACTAAGATCCTACAACATTAAAAACAAAATAAAAATTTAACTTGCTTTTTATAGAGATAAGTAGCTAAAATTAGTGATTCTTCAGTTATTTTAATTTTAGAACACTACTACTGTAATTTAGGACTACATACTAACATGGTACTGCCTAATCCAGTAGTAGGTTCTTTTCACACTATAGCCAATCATGTTTTTAAAGACAAGATCAAGGTTAAACTATTTCTTTATTGTTTTGAAAATGAGTCAAATTTATGTGAGTCCATTCTCCACACAACATACCAGCCATGAAGGTGGTCCATTCTGCATTATGAAATTAATCTCTAGCTTATCTATGCTAAGCTAACTCAACTCACAAGAAAGCTAAATTATGGGACAGCAGCTAATTCATCCCCAAGCCCCAGGTTCCAGAATGCTACAAGTACCATATTGCCAACAATGAACACGACTATAGCTAGATACAATTATCAGGCTACTCAATATTGTAATCAGACCACAATGAAAAGAGGGAACAGTGGAGACTGTCAACTGTTTTTTACAGTACCATAACTTCCTATTTCACCCTGAGAATCATTAGCAAATAGTAATAAAAGAACCTGTTAATGCCAGCCAACCCATTGCATACACAGGAAACACCATCACCAGGAGGGATAATGCCTGTCATCACCATATTCAAAAGCGCCACAATATGAAGAACCATCCATCTTATAGTACTCATGTGAAGCTCACACAAGAGGAAATATAACTATAGTTGTATCTAACACTGTTCAAAGAATAGGGACCTCAGGAAAGAGACATGGGTATCCCAGTCAAGCTGGTCTCTGCTGCCTCAGTGTCCCTTACTTTATACCCTACACTCTTGTCATCCTAAACAACTTGAAGATCTCCCCAAAATAAGTGTTCCTGTGCTTTTGTATACATTACTCCTCAGATTGGAATTTCTCTTGGCATTCTATTGGTCCTTTACAAGCTAATCAGAGTATGACACCCTCTGAGAGGCATTTAGCACAGTGTATTCAATGAATAATTGCTGAATGAATGAGAAGCCCTCCTAGACCATTTCAGGGGGTGGAAGCCTCTTCTTTCTCAATAGTACCACTATAATCAGTCACTGCTATTGTTTATATCATCTGTTCTCAAAGTGTGACCCAGGGATGTCTCTGAGACCCTTTCAGTCTATTCATGAGTTCAAAACTAGATGTTATTTACTTTTTTCATTCTTATTCTCTCACAAGTATACAGTGGAGTTTTCCAGATGTTGCATGATATATGAGATTATCACTCTGCTTGTTTTTTTTTGTTTTTTGAGACAGGGTCTCACTCTGTTGCCCGGGATGGAGTGCAGTAGTGTGATCCTTGCTCACTGAAGCCTCGACTTCCTGGACTCAAGTGATCCTCCCATCTCAGTCTCCTGAGTAGTTAAGATTCCAGGCATGCACCATCACACCCAGTTAACTTTTTGATTTTTTACAGAGACAAGGTCTAAGTTTCCCAGGCCGGTCTCAAACTCCTGGGCTCAAGCAGTCCTCCCACCTTGGCCTCCCAAAGTGCTGGGATTATAGGCATGAGCCACTGTGCCCAGGCCTGACTGATAGTTAATGGAATGTGTGTTTGTGTATTCTTGTTTTAAAAATTGTTCTACTTTCTAATATAATAAACACTGATAGCTATAACTCATAAAAACACAAGTTTTGGGGGTTCCTCAGTAATTTTTAAGAATGCAAAGGGGTCCTAAAACCAAAAAGTATGAGACCCGCTGTTACAGGTTTCTCCCTTACTAGGCTATGAACTTCTTAAGCATTTTAGTCATCAACATATTCCTAGCACCTTACTCAAGTGATGTGTGAATTAACTAGAGTAGTCTTGAGGGAGGGAACAGAGTACACCCAACATTTCCCATAACCTTATGAAAGCCCCCTCCAGCTTTTTTTCTTTTTTTAAGTTGGAGTCTCACTCTATCACCCAGTGACAGTGAGTGCAGTGGCACGCTGCTCATAGCTACCACAGCCTCGATCTGCTGGACTAGGGCAATCCTTCCAGCTCAGCCTTCCAAGCAGCTGGAACTCAGGAGTGCTCCACACACCCAGCTAAGTTTTTTGATTTATTGTAGCAACAAGGTCTCACCAAGTTGCCCAGACTGGTCTCAAACCCATGGGCTCAGACAATCCTCTAGCCTCTGCCCCCAAACTACTGGAATTACAGACATAAGCCACTGCACCCACCCCCTAACACCTCAAGATTTTACAACTCCCTGTGCTCTGATTCCTGCTCATAAATAACCTTTTGCAGAGTATTTCATTTTCCTGGGCACCCTGACATTGAAAATACCACACCCAGTAGAGTAGACACAAGCAAACCAATCATTTATTTGTACAAGAATCCCACGCCCTACCCCAATTCCACTGCAAAGTACTCAGTTGGTATTTTGGTTGCTATAGCTTGGGCTAGCTGGCATTCCTCTTTTTTTTTTTTTTTTTTTTGAGTTGGAGTCTCACTCCTTCACCCAGGCTGGAGTGCAGTAGCACAGCACACTCACGGCCACTCCAGCATCGACCTGCTGGGCTCTGGCGATCCTTCCGCCGCAGCCTTCCGAGTAGCTGGAACTACAGATGTGCGCTAACACTCCTGGCTATTTTTTAAAAAATTTTATTGTAGCAGCCAGGCTCAGTGGCTCAGCCTGTAATCCCGCGCCTTTGGGAGGCTGAGGTGAGTGGATTGCCTGAGCCCGCGAGTTCGAGATCCGC